GGGGTTTGCAGATGGCAACGTAGCGGTCGTAGCACATGATGGTGAGGAGGGAAAACTCTGCTGACATGAAAAAGAAAAATAGAAAGGCCTGTGCAGCACATCCATTGTAGGAAATGGTTGTGGTGTCCCAGAGGGAATTGTGCATGGCTTTGGGGACAGTGGTGCAGATGCAGCCCAGGTCTGTGAGGGAGAGGTTGAGCAGGAAGAAGCCCATGGGGGTGTGCAGGTGGTGGTCACAGGCTATGGCACTGAGGATGAGGCCGTTGGCCAGGAGGGCAGCCAGGAAGATGCCCAGGAAGAGCCAGAAGTGCAGGAGCTGCAGCTCCCGCCAGTCTGCGACTGCCAGGAGGAGGAACTGGGTGAAGGAGCTGCTGTTGGGCATTTGCTGTTCCTTAGGACAGAGTCTGTTCAGAAAAGGAAAGCACAGGGAACAATTAAGACAGCCCCCTTTCAGCAAAGCCAGTGCATTTTCCAGGGAATTCCCCTACAAGTCAAGGCATTTTTCTCTGGTTTGTGCTCTCTGAGGGTGCTGTGAGGAGCAGGAGCTTTGGTCATGTGCTGCCAAGGACTCAGCTTTGTGACAGCTCTCATGATCACAGGGGATGTCACATGGAACCCAGTTCTGATGGAAAAGTTCAATTCCTGTACTGTTGTCTTGGAGCAATTTAGGCTGCAGAAGAGAAGCACAGTGTATCCTTAAAATAATTTTGACTAGGTTTTTTGGTTACAGTCATAACACCTGGGGGGTGTTTTTTTAGGGGCAAGTTTTTCTGATGACAAATCTGAAGAGTGTTGAGACAGGACAGGCAGAAGGGTTGAGCTCTCCCTTGCTTATTGCAGAGCCAGGAGAGCTGCAGTGCCTCTCAGTCTGTTTCCCGTCTGCCTTGCACTTTCCCTTGGGCTGCCTTGAAGAGGACTTCACACACAGATTCATCTTTAAAAACCCCACCAAGATCTGTGCTGAGAGCAGGACAGCGCTGCTTGAAAGGGCAGTTCTGAGAAGTGTCCCCTGTGCCAGCCCAGAGGTGCAGCTGTGCTGGACAGAGCAGGACAGGAGCCCTGCAGAGAAGCCAAGGGCTGGGACAGGAGAGTGCCCACCCCCAAGGGAAGGCTCAGCACTGCCCAGGATCCTGTGCTCATTTCTGAGACTGCCTGAAAGATTAATCTCTGAGAGTAAAAGAGTTTGAATTTCAGTGCAACCTCCTGCACTGAGAGAACAATGTCTATGCTATAATGCCTAAGCAGGAAACACACCTCAGGACTAATTCCTTTCCTGTAACCCCTGGCTTTTCTGAGCTTTGCAAAAGATTCTCCATTTAATATGGTGTAGTGGTGTGAAGCTGTGAGCAGGTCTGACCCTGCAACAGCAAGACATGGAAAAGATCCTCCCTCAGCTACCAGCTTTGCTCCTTGCCCACAGCCCTTGTGCCCCAGCCCTGGGAGCAGCTCCCCGGGCCGGCTGAGAGCTG